CACACACACACACACACACACACACAGATACACAGATAGATACAGTGTATGTGCCGAGTCCCACCCACGCAGATCTCTCCTGGATAAGCTGCGCAGGTGTTTGTCTAGGCGACGTAGCTTTGCAGCGGCGTTGTTTTGTGACATGAAAGTGACACAATTGTGAGTGTAATGATCATCTCGTGTGGTAGGGAGATAACGCTTTCATCAGGTAATGTTATCAGGAATAACTAAACCTCTGCTTCTTCTTTTTTTTTTTTTTACTCCGCCTCACTTTCTTTTTGCTTTATTTAATTCTTTAAAAAAAACAAAACATCTTGTCTCTTATCTATTTCTGCAGCAGATGCCAATCATGACTCAGGGGCGGGATCTCCGTCTCCGGAGCGGTCCAGCCCCAGCCCTCGGAGGGTGGGCGCAGGCGAGCATGACATGCTGACCTGTGGCCAGTGCCAGACCAACTTCCCTCTGGGCGATATCCTGGTTTTCATCGAGCACAAGCGCCGCCTGTGTCGGGGGCCCGGGAGCAGACCGGGGTCCTTCTCGAAGCCTGGGGAGACCGACGGGGTCACGGGCATTTCCATCTCGCCCAGGGCCAGGTCGCTGGAGATGGGCAGAGGGTCCATTCCGGTGGAGGTGGGCATCCAGGTGACCCCCTGCAGAGAGGAGGACCTGGAGAGGAGGCTGACGCCGGCCAGAGGGATCTGCCCCAAACAGGAGAGAGGAGGTACGCAGACTGGAGCACACTGTAAATAAGGATGCTCAATTCTAAGTTTTGAATAGAGCTCTGTCGTCAGTGTAGATGCACATGTCTTAAACACACACACACACACACACACACACACACACCTGCACACGTCTCTCACCTGTCCAAGACAGATAGCTCTCTTTAAAGAATCCCAGCTGCTTGTTATTTTGACAGTGGCCTTCAGGAGGGATTAATGTAGCCTGGGATGATTTCATTAGAGTGAGTGAGAGCCGCACTGTATGTCTATTCTGCTCTGTTCTAAGTAAAACATCACACACACACACACACACACACACACACACATACACACATGCACGCAAAATCACAAACACCAAACAAACACACACTGGCAGGCCTGAAGGACTTCTTCAGCTGAAACCAATTGTGAAAGGCGAGGAAGAAGGTGATAGAGGAGCCGCCCCCAGTGTGTGTGTGCATGTGTGTGTTTGTGTTTTTTTTTTTTTTTTTAGCTCGTGTGAGTGCACATCACGTGTCTTTGTAAAGAAATCCTGCAGCATATGAAAAAAAGAGGTTAAGAAAGCTGATTAAAATTCATCTGTGTGTGTGGTGAGGAGAAGGGGATTAATAAAGCAGCAAGGCCGTTCATCTGGCTATGGGGGGGGGGCTGTGGTGTGTGGTGTGTGTGTGTGTTGGGGGGGGGGCTGTAGACTGCCAGCGCTGCAGGGAAACCAGTTCAAAGTTATCAGAGGAGACAGTCACCATCACACCCGAGAGCTGGGAAGGCTATCCAGGATTACACAGACTCCAGTAGACTAAGAGCGACTCGGTTAGAGGAGGCAGGCGGCTGCATTGTGGGATGTAAAAAGATTAGAACAGTTAACACAGAAACTCACCGCTCTGTCTTCAATTGGTGCGTTACGGAGAGACTTAAATAGTAAAGGGTGGACTTTTACACTGCGTTATATATTGTATTAAATGTACATACACAGGGGCAGATCTTCCTATAGGCAGGCGGCCACTCAGAGGAGAGAGTGCCAAGATCTAATCAAAGAACACAAAAGTACAAAAAGAAGAAAAAACATACTGTATTCTTTTATTTTTTATTATTATTGTTGTTTATTTAAGTTTTTTTTTTAAAATTGTAGTAAATACAATAAATATATAAGATAATTTTCTGGGGGGTGGGGGGTGTCGAGGAAGCTTACCGAGGGCCCCGAATGTGTTAGGTGCGGCACTGCACATGTAATGAAATGTCTTTAAAATAAGTAAATAAATGCTACAAGACAGTAAATATTATTATGGAGGGTTATAGTGCTGAAGGCCCGTAAAATTCACACATTAGAGAATTTTAATTATATTCTAATTATTCAAGTTCCACATGAACATAAACAGACATAAATTTCCGGGGGAAGAAGGGGGCACGTCCCCCTTATCCCCCCCAACAAAACATGAAAGTAGCAGAGGACCTTTGATAAAATTAAAGACATTAACATCATGAATTGATGCGAAAAAGCCACAAATTGGTGCATGATAGGAAATAGGAAGTGTGTGATGCTTAAAAGTTTCTGACACCTAACCCCCCGTTTTCATATGTTTTATACCCCCCCAGTATTGAAACAAAACTTGCAACCTTGTAGACAAGTGTAGTACTGAAGACCTGTATCATACACACATTATCAGAGTTTGAATGATTTTCTGAAATTTAAAAAAAAAAGTTGCCAATAAACACAACCACACACGAGGTCCCTGTTAATATTTGCAAGGTGCATTTGTCCCCCGCAATAAAAACATGAAGGTAGAAGAGGACTTTTGAAAAACTCAAAGACATTTACATCATAAATTGGTGCATAAAAATCCACATGAATGCAGGAAGTGAAGTGTTTGATGCTTAAAATGTTCTGGCAGAGCACCGCCTCCCAAACTGAAACAAAATCTGCGACGCTGCAAACCTGAGAGAAGCTTTATGCCTTAGTTGTAATATTGTAGACCTGTAAAATTCACACATTAGAGAGATTTAATTATATACTACTATTTTTAAAAAGTTGCAAATGAATACAAACACACACAGGCGGGGATTTCAGGGGGAGGATGGGGACACACCCCCTTTAATATTTAGAGCATGTGCATTTTTCCCCTACAATAAAAACATGAACATAGAAGAGAATTTTAATAAAATAAAAGACATTTATATCATAAACAGTTGTAGAAAATGCATAAACTGGTGCAGAGGACCCTCAACCTCCTCTTTTCATATGTTTTATCTCCCTCTCCAATACTAAAACAAAAGTTATCACCTTGCAAAGACAAGAGAAAAGCTCTACGCTTTAGTTACAGTATTGCAGACCTGTAAAATTCACACATTAGAGATTTTTTATTGCTATACTTATATTTAAAAAAGTTAATGAGTACAAACACACAGGCGGAGATTTCAGGAGGAAGGAAGGACATGTCCCTCTTAATATTTAGAACATGACGGTAGCAGAGGATGTTTGATAAAATTAAACACATTTACACCATAAACTGGGGCATAAAAATCCACCAGAATGCAGGAAATGAAGTGTTTGATGCTTAAAACGTTTGGCAGAGGACCCTCAACCTCCCCTCTTTGTTTGTTTTATCCCCCCTCCCCAGTATTGAAACGAAACTTGCGACCTCACAAAGACAAGAGAAAAGCTTTATGCTTCAGATATAGAGCTGAAGACCTGTAACATCCACACATCAAAGATTTTTACTACTAATATATTAATATTTTAAAACACACAGGTGGAGATTTCGTGGGAAGAAGGGGACACATGCATCTTATTGGAATGTCCGTTTGTGCATTTGAGAAAACAAAACTTGTGACCTCACCAGGCTTTGTGCCTCAGTTATTGTTTACACATTAGAGTTTTAATGATATACTAATATTTTAAAAAAGGCACACAGGCGTAAAATCCGGTGGGAGGAAGGGGACACGTCCCCCTTAATATTCAGAACATGAGCATTTGTCCCACCTAATAAATACACTTTTATTTTAAGACATTTACGTCACACATTGGTCCAGAAAAGGCACAAACTGGTGCACAGACATTGCACCAGAATGCAGGAAGTGAAGAACTTGACAGTCAAAATTTTCTGGTGGAGCAAACCCAGCCCCCCGTCTCGCGTGTGTTCCCCCCAAAAACGAAACCCACACCCTACAAACACAAGACAGAAGTGGGTTAGGAGGTGCTTTTAATTTTAGTTTTGGTTAAATTTCGTTTGTACAGTTTTCACTGCAGAGTTCTGTAAGATGAATCCGGTCTGTAAAATATTACAAAATGTCTCACAAAGTCTCAGAACGTTACCGATCTGCACGTTTTGTTGATCTCAGAATCAAAGCTGGTGCAGACATCTCGTGTCGTCGCTACAGGAATCAGCACACATGCACAGTTTGTGTGTGTGTGGCCGGCAGCTGTGTGTGGCCACCATCTTCTGCGGTGGGAAATAAATCTATTGAAGGAGATCACAAACAATTCTGGGTGTCAGAGCTGATATATTTTTAATAATAAGAAACATTTCTTTAAATCAAAACACAGAGAGAGGAGAGAGTGATCGTTTATCATGTGGTGTAATTAGAAAAAGTCCAGACAGCTCGTCTTTTTGTTGCATTTTAGGTTTTAATGTTGACTCATTTTTCAGTTGGGAATTTAGTAAGTGTTACACGGCCTCTTGCTGCAGCTCACCTACTGTAGACGCTGCAGCAGGAAGGAAAACATGCATGTTTTTATATGGCAGTTTGTCTGTTAGGTGGTCAGAGGAGAAACATGTCGAGTTGGTGAGTGAGTCAGCCTGTTAGAGCGGCAGTCAGTTAGTCACTCAGACAGACAGACAGACAGACAGACAGACAGTCTTATCACTAAGAGGACAGGACATGAAAGCACTCGAAGCCCCAAATGAAAGAGAGGAGGAGAGCTTTGTTCAACACATTAGATTGCCACTCAAGGCAGTCTCAAGTTTCAACCAAATTAGATTACATTATTAGGGCTAATTAAGTCCAGTGTGTTAGCAGCACACACACACACACACTCTCACACACACACACACATAAGGAAATATCACCACATTCGCCTGCACGTGGTGCTGAGAACTTTGCAGCCACACAAATATTTGCAGCACAGGTGATGACAAAATGTGCATCAGGTATAGAAACGTACATAATGTTCTGTGTTGTGTGTGAGATGCTTGTGTGTGTATGCACAGCCCTTAACCCTCTCCTCCCCGGGATTGTTTTGTTTTCTGCTCACCTGGTTGTGTTTTATAACATCCTGTCTGGCCTCTTTGTCTGTCAGGCTGCCTGCTTAAACTGCAAACATGCTGCAAGGCTAGCAGATTCAACCCCAAAAGGTGCAAACACACAAACGCACGCTCTCTGGTGCACTGCGCTGTAGATGAAAAATGGCCCTTCTGTGCCCTATTTTTTTTTTTTTTTCCTTGAGTTTCTCTTGCTGATGCATGCACTCTGCGTGTACATGTGTGGGCTTTGTCAGGGTATGTTAATATGTGCCTTGTATGAATTTGTGCAGTGTCTGTGAAGAATGATGCGTGTCACCAGGCGAGCGAGAGGTTGTCGCTAGGGGAGCGTTACCATGCTAAGACGACCCTGGCCCTGCTTTGAACCCCTCCCAGGACGGCTGGCGGGGCCCCCTCGGAGCACTTTAAGACATCCAGTACATGAGGGCCAAGTCACATCATGACTCCCTCTCTCTCTCTCTCTCTCTCTCTCTCTGTCTCTGTCTCTTTCTTTCACAAACACCGTGTGTCGAGATCACACAGTAAATATTTCATGAGACGATGTGAACGACGGCGACATCCTCAAACATCTCTCTTTATCTCTCCGGCCACCTCCGATCTCCCTGCTGTCACTTCTCTGGGCGCGTCACTTTATTAGGCTGCTGGGTTTTTTTTTGTTCGGTAGGAAGCTCGAATTTTTCGATCAAAGGATCTAAACGAGATACCCGCCACTTTAAAACTGTCACACCTGCATGTGTATTTTTTTT